ATGCTATGGGAATGATGTGCTTCGTTAACGAGCCCTTTTTCTAGAATTTCATCGCAGGTAATCAGTGCGAGCGAAAGCAGCAAATACGTAAGAAGCTACGAACGAATTAGAAGACCTTCAAAAGGCGTGGACCTTATATATTACTATCAGAGAAAAACTTTTCCACATATCAGTATGTGGATACGTTCACATGTAGAGAGAAAATCCACGAATGAAACATTGTATAGTAGTGAGGCAGCTTTGTGGAACTTTCATCTGGCCTGTGTGTTTCGCTCTAGGATTTTTGTCCCTCAGACCACTGACATAGTATTACCAAATGTATTCTTGTAGTATGATTCGATGGCACAATTATAATACTATGTATGCGTAATATTCACGATATTTTCTGCACCATTAACGTGCTCTACATTTCAAAAGGAGTGTAAATTAGGAAGACTGAACCTAACTTAACTCATATTTGGTCATGCATGCTAATTATGTAAATGCTTAATGTACGCAAATGAATTTAATCTGTATCACTTTTAGGAATAATGGGTTGCAGTGAAGTCTGTCGGTTAATTACATTCAGGGGGAGCAGATGTAGCCGCATTTGGACAAAGACATCCGAAAAACAGTGATAAGCGTTTTACGATTTATAACCACATACATTTGCATAATCACTTTTAGGAATTGATTCTACAAACAACAACAAGTGGAGGTAAGTTCACTCATTCATGTATAACCATGCAGATATTCTTTTTTGCAGTTTTTGATATCGGATAGCTTTGGATGTGGGCGCAGAGTTCTGTTTACTTGAATTTTGGAAGAATTTAAACGTGACGCGATTCGGACACTAGACAGTTTCCGTCGAATAATGGGAGATACTTTCCAAACGAAGAATTTAATCTTGGACTGTGCTCAGATAATACATGTAAATAAACTTGTTTGCATTGCAGTGAAATAAAATTTTCTATCTAATATTCTTGTGTCCTACTTATTGTGCATGCGGTGACAGTACGGCATGGCAGACCGGCACTCCCTAGGACATGAACTCGTTACTGTACATAAGTGTAATTCTGTGGCAACTCTATCGACGGATGGAAGTAGCAAATTATAAGTACTTTAGTGAAGCCTAAACATCTGTCTAAAGTTACGCGATTACGTCTCCTAGTCATAGGTAAGTCTAAAGGGACCAATAATAAAAATACTTAACTTCAGTATATGAAAAATGAGAAAAGAACGTAGGCACTGCATTTGAGCTGATTTCGTATAAGGTTAAGTGTATTCAAAAGTAGTGCGTTACCATTATTATTTCACTTAAAGCGTGATGTCAATCTATATGATTTTGTGTTAACTTACAGTGTAAGGTGAAGTGTACACGAGATGAATAATTGAATAGGTTTGGCTGTAGCAACCGTAGCAATATTTCGCTTACACTGAATTAAGCCACTAATTACCTTCCCAGGTCTCACTAGTAAGTCAGGCCTCCATCTCGTCATTATGACAAATTTACTTTCACTCAGAATAAGAAGAGTATGGTAAGCAGGATGTTAAATATATTTAATGGACAATAATAACAAGCAAAGGTCTTTACGCAGTTGTCGTAATTACTTCGGCGATGTCGAATCGCTTTGACCAGGTTGACTAACGTTACCGGATATCTGCGAAAATGTGAAAAAGGGTATATTTTAAATCGCTGAAGCAAGAAAGAAGCAATGTTAAACTTGAACGCTTTATGTTTACCTACCTTTGCTGAAAAAGATTCGTTCTCCTTTTTCATTCTTCGTTGAACTTTGGAAAGATGATTTTCAAATTTAAAAGGTAATAATCATTGAAACTGCAACAATATTTTCTAGCTATTCGCGATTGTTTTCTTTGATGCCGTTTCTTATCAACAGTTTGCAGTATTCATGGTGAGTTTATAGGAACCTTCATTGTATCATGATTTTCACCAAATTTCCCTTGACGCAGTAAACCCATACACTGAAGCATTGTAACCTGAACATCACAAAATCCCCACAGATAACTAATGTAATAATAAATGCTTTAAAGATATGAGCCGTAAGAGCAACTTCCATATCATTCATGGCCACGAGTTATTCTTAAAATATCTTGGTGATCTGAGAATGAATAATTACTAAGACTGATATAACCTATGTGACAGGTGTAGTGGTTGTAGGAAACAGCTGCTAGCTACTATTCAATTTTATACAAATTTTAAGTAGTCTGGCAATTTAGAAGGACCATCTATACTATTCTTCGTGACCTGATGCACATTGATATCAACATAATCTGACGCCATTTCATGCACTGAGCTATTACGATCTTCTGAAATTCCATGTGCAAATGTAAATTAAACTAGTATCACATCTTCGCCTGAGCAATTTTAACTAGGAGCTTCACCAAAATAGATATAATCACCAGGAAATTCAGCTGCCTTAAGATCTGAAACAACTCTCAAGAAGCAAACCCTCAACGCTCTAAAACGCAAATAAGTCTTTCTATGCGAAGTTTCTTAAAAAGGATGACTTTTTATTAATAATTCGTCCAGGCTATAATTACAATTTTATGCTTTACTACGAACAAAATACAGCAAAATACTGCCTTTTTTGATGATCGCTATACTATGAGCTTTTGTAACACGTGAATTCGGATTAATGCATGTTAAGCTGGGTCAGTGGAATGCAGATCCACTATGGTATTATGAAACTTTTACTTGAGTCATTTATAGCATTTCACGTCTGTTTCCATACAACAGCACATTAACAAAACTAAGTATGATTTAGCAAGTTAATTATTGATTCTAAACTGTTTGTTACGCTAAAGTCACCTTATTTAGCTAGTTGCAAGTCTTTATACTGCTAAACGCCAAGTATGCAGCACAAGTAAATGTAGTAAATTAGGGTTGATAGCTACTTCATTAATCAGTTTTCATGGTGATGAGATAAGAAACAACTTTTATTTATTTCTAATATGTTGTTGAATCATGTGATGTTATCTAATATCCACCATTTCCATGATCAACAACTGCAGTGTTCGCATATCTACTTTGTTAAGTATGCGCATCACCTAACTGTTTCATTGCCTGTTAATTCCCAGCCAGACTGTACTAAGATTGACAGATTTCTATCCGGAATTAGTAAATGGTCGTAAACTGAATCCTTCTAAATGTCAAACTGTTAATTTCAGTTTCAGATACAAGCGAGAGTTAAATGAAGCCTTTAATTTCTATGACTGTTTTATAATTGATGATAGTGATAGAGAAATCAAGTCTCAAGTGAAGAATACTGGATTAATTCTTTCTTTTGACTAGCCCTGGTCATCCCCCATGTTTAAGATTTCTAAACGAATATTTCGTCTGACTCCCTACATCAAGAAGTTGAGGCACTAAGGTATAACTTAAACCCTCCTCTTGTAGTTTGTCAATTCGTGCATCTTACCTACTCTTCCTTAATGTTCACCTTTATTCTTTCTTGGATTGCTTTGAAAAGACTATGTCGTACTTCGTGGAATTCTGAAGACTGTCAGTAGGGCGAGTGGTCTCCCCTTGGGCCTGGTTCATTTACTTGAATCTAGTACATTAGGCATATATAAGCATAAGCAGAACTTAAACTTTAGCGGTTCCAGTTTCGTTTTGTTCCCCAAAATACACTCAAACACAACAGATTTACACTTCTTATGCGGCTCAAACTTGTTTGATTGGGGTTCTCTCACAATATATGTGACCTTTTAACTGACAACAGACGCACTGATGGTATATTCACCCTCTAGGAAAGCTTCAAAGCTTTCGCAAATTCAACCCAGTTTCTAAGATCTCAAGGTTTAACATGACCATCGAAAGCCTTGCTAATGTCAACTCTAGTCGTGCTCTCCTCACCAGATTCACTCATAGACTGTCGCCTGCTGTAAACGTGAACGTCAAAGACATTAGTTTTCAAGATTTCTACATGTTAAGTAACCAAATGAGCCAGCAGCAAAACCGGCACCCAATGAATGAACTGGAAACAATGGCTTCTGCCACCCAGACATGTTCATGTGCATAATTTCCAAAAGTTCCACACAGTACTAATTCATAAATAGCTGACAAACAACTAAAACAATGAAAGCCGCATGAAAGCAGCGTATGGAACTATTACAATGAAATGAATGCACTGATCTGGTGCTAAAAACTTTCAAAACCAACGAAATAACTGATTTTAACAGCAACGGAAACAAAAGTGAGGTGAAACGCAACATTCGTGTACAATATGAATCAAGATAAGTTGTGAATAACTGCAAGATAAGCGTAAAAACCAATGTGTAAACTAACGGCTAGGGAAGTGCGATCCAACTTCGCCTACAAACATGGGCGAAAATGATTTTCCGGTGTCTTACTTCGCCAATGAGCTCGGACGTGACGGACAAGTTCAGTCGACCTGCAGTATACGCTGCAAAGTCTCAAGGGTTGAATTCATTACGGTCAGCTTCGAATGTTGGCCATGATCCCGTGATGGTGATATCATACATGTTTCCTGGGTCAGTCGTGACACATATTTAACCCCGTTTATTTAGAAGACTGTGGACATACGTTTATGTTTGGTACCTTCGTTCTGAACCTGCATAAGTCTGGGGACCATCACTGTTCCAACCTATACTGCCCAGAAACCCTGAATAACAACGCTTTTCTCTGCCATTGGAGATGTTTACCTCACTGTAATGCAACAGAATGTCATTTGGCGTAGTCCGTCAAATATCTTCCTGCACTTCAATAGATGCGCGATTCTTTGAGAGCTTAGACATTAACTAGAATTGCACCACTCTCAGTTTTGAGTTTCGTATAACATAAATATCAAGTTTGCTGCGGTTGGCTACTTGCTAAGGGGCCCTGTCATGCTTCCATCTTTTGAAGAGGAAACGTCTTCTGCAGTTGTTGTCGCTATTTGCGGCAGGATTAACAATATGTTGCTCACTGGAGTCCATTCCTCCTAATACATTTGATAGCGACCACCGTAGAAGAGAGTAAATCTGTAGTGTTAGTGACATAGAAACCTCAAATCAGTTCGGTTCGAAATTTTCTGACATTGCTTTTGCAATTGTACATTTGAGGTGTTTTTCAGGACCAAATTATCACGATAGCATATGTGGCGGGACTTTGCATGCAAATGCAAATGAGTCCGCTGAATGCCGTGATATGTGGGCGGAATGAGTTGACTGCATCTGTGATCAGAATCCTTCGAAGAAACAAATATGTGAATATAGTTGGGTATTGGTGTGATTCTGTTAAGTCCCAACTTCATGCAGATGTGGCTGGTATCAAGGTGATTGGTGGCACTTTCGAGGACTTGCTGTCCAATAAGGAAATACATTTCCTGTTTCTCTGTGATACTCCTCTCAATCAACAGAGTTTTGTTTCGCGACTTTGCGATCAAATTAAATGTTTCCAGAATTCAAATGTTAAGCAAGTGTCGGATCTGCCTTATGTGATAGTTTTTCCTCCTTTTTCACCAAATTACGATTTCGAGTTGCTTAAATTATTCCGAAATAAAGTTGGTGTTGCAATGCCCCTCAGAAGACTTCTCGTGTCAGCTTTGTTATCTCGCCATATTAATCGAAACAAACAGCTGAAGTTTTCAGAAACGTACGAGTCTGTCCAACTACCAGCACACTGGGATTTGGGGAACCTGGAAAAAATACACATAAGACTGTCAACAATAAACCTTATTGAAAACTGTGAGTACTCGTGGCTATGTGAATCAGGAAATATGGGTGGGGGTTTGTTGAACATCTTTTGTAGTAGTCTTATTGACCTTGTGTATTCACTCACTGGTTTACAGTTGACTTCAGTTACATGCGTCTGTCGAACGTACGGAGGGAGTCTGAGTGGTCGGGAACGGTCTTTGCGTCGGATTTCATCAGAAGACTATGTCACTGTGTTGGGTGAACTTGATGTGGCTTCGGTGACAGAATCTTGTAAACCGGTAGTTGTCATCGTCATTTCGTCAGACATTCCATTCTCAGAAGATGTTGCATGTAAACGTTCGGAAGTGTATTCTTGTGATAATCACCGTTTCAAATTGCAAGTGGAAATATGTGGATCAGCTGGTTGTTTTGTGGCGGATGAAAGCGAAAGGCAAATATCTTGGACATCCCGAAAATCTTGTTTACCAAAGGCTAAATATGTGTCTGATGAGTATTCCACTGTACGACCAAAGCACGATTGTAATGGTTTCTCACATGAACGACCAGTACAACGAGTCAACGATACAGAATTGACTAATGGGAAAGATCATTTTGAATCATACTCTACGGGTCTAGTGGAGACACAAACAAATCACTTCCCTAGAACTCGGGCTATCAGCAAGCCACCCTTCCATATTGAAAAAGTGAACGGAATAACAGAAGTTGCACGTCTACCTTTGAATGTAAGTCGATGTTATTATTATTATTACCAATGTGAATGTAGTGACCTGTATGTATTATGGATATATTTAGTTATAAATAAACCCAAAGCGTCTATATTATGTTTTAAGACCCATGTTTTAACTGTAAAACCTAAGATATTATGGCAGCAAGGGAGTAAATAGAGCTTGTTAAGGATTAATTTGAGAAAGTCCAGAACAAAAGCAAATAATGGTGTTAAATTATGTTATAAAAAGTATGTTTAGTAGGAGTACCAATATAGTTGTGATTGATATCAGTGTCTAGGGGCTTATGCAGCCATCATATTAGTGCAGCAAGTCAGAGTTTATTATACTTATATTTTTTTGGTCACGGGTCTCCTTGTTTTCACGGATGAATGCTCAAAGTCGTTAGTAAACGACGGCTGGTTACCTGAATACATAGTACTCAGATTCAGTTTATGAGAGGTGAGTTAGTTACCAGCCTAAATGTAACGAAAGGTCTTTTTTTCACGATTTTATGCATGTGTATTACCCTATCTTAAGATGTCTCTTAAGGCAAATAAACTAAGAAGTCATTTCGAAATATAATGTACTACTCTATGTAGTTTGTGTAAACACTGACATTTGATCTTTCGTGATTCGAGTGATATGTTGTCTGCTTGTGAAACTGTGGAAGGTTTCTTTAGATTCCACATTTATGGTATTAAACGGTGTATACCGTTTGGAGATACAAGTTATGTTGTATAGATTTGTGTTATGAATATTATCAGTCATTTGGCTATCTTTGGCCACCGTACAAGTGTGTAACCCTCTCTCGTACTGTTATAAAATTCCTTTAATACCTATCCCTCTAAAGGCGTTTCACAGCATCCAGGTAAAATGCTTTTTCTTTCTGATTACTGACTGAGTCTCAGCAAAGAACTTCTCAGACAAAATTCAGTAGTGCAAGTTGCCACATACCATCTAACACATGAGAGTAGAGAAAAGAGGGGAAAATGACTCAATTAACTATAATGAACAGAAATGTGCTGGAGAAAGAATAGTAACATGGATATACATGGGAGTGTAATGTCCGTTGAAGGACACAAAAAGTGAATGTACCTGCGTTATTGAGAAAAATTTTGAGTCATATCACCAACAGTCTGCATCTATTGACTGTTAGCATCCCGAAAACCCCAATCAGACTGTCTCCACTTCTCTTTGTAGTTAAAACCGTCAGTCAAAGACTTCATGGATCGATGCCAGGTTTTCGTGTAACCACCGGTAATTTTTTTCCAGTCTTATCGTATGCCTGTCGGATAAGACCACAGGGTAGCGTGTATGACATGTGTCCCAGCCACCTCAATCGATTCACCTTCACAACTTCATACGTTTGCTTGCCTTCTTTACCTAGGACTCTACGCCTAACCTCAATATTTCTCACCTGATTATACCACTTAGCATGGGCGATAGGACATAAACGTCTTTGTAATGAGCAACGGTTCTTAGCTGTCTTTTAGCTGATGCTTGTTAGACGGAATTTGTGAATAATCAGAAACTTCATGTTACATACTGGTTCATGGATTTTCTGTATATGTACTTAAACCTGGGAAATATAAATTAAATGAAAATAGGCTTATTTAAATAATGTCAGGACATTATAGGCTTATTATACGTTATTGCACACGTTGAGTGTAACCGGTTAGCTTTATTGTATTAGTGATACTTCTTACTACTTCAGCAGAGATCTGGATTTTGTGAAGTAATCACTTTACTGCGTGTCTTTTGATTAGACACCTATTTAGAGTCCTGAAGGTGACAGGTCGTAAGAAACCTATGATAAACGGAACTATTTCCCAGAAGAACTCTAGTTGAATTGCCTTTTCGGTTAGACTGTTGGAATATTGGAAGGAAAACAGAGGAGCATTTTAACTGGCCTACAACCAAGCAAAATTTGTCCAGAATTGCATTTGTACCTAATTGGGTTGTAGACATTGGTCTTTCAAATGTAACTGACAAATTACAAAGGCTTTCTGTACTCTGAAATGAGGTAAAGCATCAGGATTTAATGGAATGACTCCAGAGGTATTTTAAGATGTTGGTGTAAAACTGTTGTCTGAATTAACTTAAGTAATATGTAATGTTCAGGATTCAGATGTAGTTTCATCAGACTGGTGTAAATCATTGATTATCTCACCCTATAAGAAGGGAGACAAGTTTTACTGTTGTCATCATAGTGGTGAGCTTGACTAACATGGCATCATGTGAAGACAAAGGAGTGATCGGGGTAAACGAAGCCATCCGGCTTTACCCGAGGATGAGAGTGCATTGATTATGTCTCCACCCTTGAACGGATTCTGGGACATTGGAATGCTTACGGGGGTACAACACACCATATATTTTGACCTGAAGGTGGCATTTCACTCGGTCGACTGGGAGGCACTGCAGCAATATCTAGTCGTGAAGTGAGTTCCAAGCAAGTATGTCTCACTAAACAAGGAACTGTATTCAAAGCCACGCAGCTGTGGTCAATATTATGAAAAATTTGATAACTTCTATCATTTTCGGCTTAGACGTGATATTTCGGTAGAACGTTTGTAGTATGCAGCAGTTCACTCCATCCATCTATGTGACTGTGAGACAAGGCTGCTGAAAGTAGAAAATATAAGGATGACACTTGTCTTTTATGATCGGTGTTCGTTCTCTGTCTCCCGTGTTAAGTAGCACAATGAAGTGAGCAATATTGAGGCTAGACCTAGTTTCAAGTGAGCAGATTATGAATTGCATCAATTGCGATTGTTCTTACAGGCACCTAGTAATATGTTCTATAGCCCTTATCTGCAGAGATGGATGGCTCCTCCAATATGCGTGTCACCGCATATACACGCTAATTGGTAAACGAAGTGCCATATGGCATTATCGTTCAGATGTTTTTTTTTACAGAACAGAATTAATCCCACTTTCCCAAAGAAAATGAGTTTAGCTGCATAATAAGTCTTACCGATTGTGGCTCTGATTCCTTGTTTGGTGATCTGATTTTTTGGTAATCGCCCTTAAATGTCAAGGCTATATAAACATCTTTTACGAGAGTTGATTGGTGGACGGTTCTATAGCTTTTGATGGATTTCAGGAGATAATTAGAATATTTTAGTGGGGTTTCGCATTTCTTCTTAAATGATATCCTCTGTACATAAGTATTGAATACATCTAAACAAGCATTTTACTAACGCCTTTTTATACTGGAGTAGACAGAAACTATAGCAATTTAGATACTGTCCCGTCGGAAAAGACTAGTCGTCTTCTTGACCCATCCTGTTGGTAAGTTTATGAGTTCATCTAAAGGTGACAAGCAGTCATTGTTTCCTTCTACGTATGTCAACAATATGCTACTTTTTATTGTAAGAATTCGTGTGTCATCTGTCGATGTGTTACGATTTATCATCTGCGTAACTTCTGCAAATAAAGCCGTTTGATTCAATGAATCCTGGAAGCAGACGTCCAACGTCATCTATCGCAAAGCACATCATATAGACGGGTCATTGTCTTTAGAACTATATATGTGAAAGAGGTTTAGGTTAAACACCAGTTTGTTGACGCCTAAGCCCTAAAAGGGCTTAAACCTGTTGCACTTGTTTCGAAATTATTCATTATTACTTTGAGCCTGCCTTTGTAATCCAATTCTGAACCGGAGGTGTATTTCACGCAATAATATCTTCACCGTTTGGTTTTTTTCTCACATCAACTGTGATTTTGACCCTCAAACAGCTTTTTTTGTATTGACTTAGTTTTGACCTTTCATACTGCTAACTTTTATATAGATACATATTATGAGTACATGCGTGATGAGAATGTCTTCAACGTTTCAGATTAAATGATGTATTATTGTTTTGTCAAAATTCATAGTTTGAATTAAACTACTTTGAATGTGTGATCTGGACAGTATTTTTAAGGACAATTCGTAGTACACGTGCGATTATTGAGTCGAACGGTTTATATTTTTAAAACCTGGTAACGGAAATATTGATTATATCCGATTCAGATTTTGAAAGTATGGCTGAGGGTGGTAGACTTCAGTCTTCCTCTCGAGATGCTGTCAAGCGTCCATACGTTCATAGCTTCTGCCAGATGAGTCCTACTTACTGCCTTCACGCGGACGGGTTGTTCCTTATAGAAGTGGAGGAGTTGATGCGAACATCTGGCGCTCACTACCGGACTGGTGAACTTGTAGGTTTACCTAGGAAAGCTGGAAAACCCTGATTCCTACATATTCTGGGGTGTACCTTGGCTCGAGAATCTGAAAGGATCAAACAGTGTACGAATCTGTTTTGTCCACTGAAAACTGCGGAGACGTAGCGTCTGACTCTGCCTCACTACCTTATGGGTCAGACTTCAAATTGAAGGCTCGGGAAGTGGCACCCTAAGACAACCACTTGCTCCGGTCTAAGAATCCGAGCAGTATCTTGGCGATCATACAAACTATGAGATTTTGTGTGACGCTTCTCTTGGTGTCCATAGTGTGGCAATTTTGTCTTAGTAAATGAATAAATGCAGCATTTAAGAATACAATAATCTAGGTAACAAAGTCATAAGCTGAATTCTGGTGTGGTGATAAATGGCAGTTTCAAAATGGCATCAGACCGGGCTTTTGTTTTACTTTCAGAGGTGTTGACATGGCATTTTATATCTTAGCTTCTTTTTCTAATCCGATACTGTTTTATTTTATAGGATTCAACATATAACCTGGAGTCAGGCGAGGGTGTACAGTATTGTCAACTATCTGTAATCGGAGAATCATGGTCCAATTGGTTCAGTAGTTTAACGACAAACCTCCCTTCAGTTGAATCTTTAATAGCACTCCCATCCCATTGGAGTTATATTCAGTCGGTTATACAAGCACTGGATAAATCTGCCAGGTTAAGATGCTGGATTGATGTACAAACCGGTGAACGTATGTAGAGTGTATATGCATCCAAGAGATGAGCGAAGGATGTACCCTCTGGACGCTATGATCTTGGATATGCAAAGTATGGTGTATTTAGTCAAATACAAAGAATCTCTGCATTGTAATGTGATGGAAACACCTGTGATTTCTTCCTTGGCAAATCTTGGAAATCGATATTGTGAAAGTCAATGATTTTTGTACAGATGATCAGATTCAACCTCAATGTTGGTTGGTACCATTTACTTTCACTCACTAAGTGTGATTCAACGTTGATTATACTAACTTTATTGCACAAAACTTGTAACAAATTTCATAAGAGTTGAAGATGTATTTTTATAAAATTTAATTAACTAAATATGCCTAATGCCGAATTGATGAGTTATTGTTTTTTGTAGAGCCACTACTGTAAGAAACACTTGAGGATTGTGTGACATCTGATTCTCTAGATCACTTTCATTCTCTTTACCCCTCTGTAGTTAGGTTGATGCAGTAGTAGTAAATGGAGATGGATTGGATATGCGTTGAGCAATATCACACACCGCGGTAGCTGTTCAGTGGAATCCAAATGGGAGACAAGTTTGGCCTGTGTGTTGGAGAGTGACATGGAGGTGTTCGTGTGTAGTGCAGGTGGAAGTGTATGGTCAGTTGCTACAAAGGACAAGGTGAAATGGAGATGTACTATTAACGCACTATGTACCGTTCAGATGCCAGGGAAATAGTAATAATTATATAGTAATAATTTGGGATAAGCAGTTTACACTACAACTTGTTAGAAGATAAAAGTACTTAACATAATTTTCAGTGTGTTTAACAAGTCAATAAGAGATATTTCGAAACATTTTCACGGAATATGCACATTGGATTATAGGAATTATTAAAGAGACGGTCGTAGAAAAGGGAATTTTCTATCTGACGAAGTCACAAACTAGGCTTTACATTCGTGTATTTATAGTTAATGAGTGAGAAAGTTGCAGAATTATTCCCGGTCAAATTAATAAAATTACGAAGTGTAATGACCATCAAGATCGGGTAGAAAGACATAATAATATCATAATTACTGAAAACTTGACTGTTCCTACAAATCAGTGGTTACGGACGTAGTAATAGCAAAATAGGTAGGAAGATCAGACGTATAAAAATATAGCAACCAAATCTAATAATGCTGATAGGAATTAGAAAGGGAAAAGTAACAGAAATAAACGGGAAGGTTGGATGAGAAAGGTGATTCGGTAATCTCTATTGGTGGGAATGACTTTTCACTGTGTTGACGACTGCACCGTTCACCGAAAGAGCATCCATAGTCAAGTGAAAGTAGGCTAGTGTCTAATACACGAAACGTTTAGCCAAGTCCTTATTTAGCTTTTTTTAAACACATTTGTCAACAGATTTTGACTAGGTTTCAACATAGAACTTTGCACAGATAGGCAGCAGTTTAAGTCGCCACACTTCATTTAGCACAAGAAGATAGAGAGTAAAGAGATTCAAACGAAACTATTATGAGCAGAAATGTGTGAGTGAATGAATGATGACATGCAAAAACACAAAAGTCTAGTGGACAATGGGAGATTACTATGAGTGAATGCCGCTGGTTCTTGGCATCCCGAAGACCCGCCAACCAGGCAGTCTAGACTTTCCTACTTGGCTCAAACCAACCGTCGAAGACTTTATGCACTGACTCCGTATTTTGGTTAAATGACTTCTACAATCTATGCCTCTATCGCCACTGTGGAAGGCGATAGCTAGACATACATAATACAACCCACACATTTTACTGCCGGCTCTTTTTAAAGATGGTGACGAGATCCTCGTCATGGCTTTGACTGGTTTGTTCAGGGAAGTTCGTGAAATTGGGGTGTGCCATTAATGTGGAATGAAGTCATCACCTTCCCCATCTTTAAAAAGGTTTGACGTAACACACACAACAACCATATCAGTTTGCTACCAAATGCGTCTAAAATATTGACAGCTGTTTTGCTTCACAGGCTGTGCGAAACACGTGAGAAGTCGATTCATGATTAGCAGCCTGGGTTTCGTTCAGGCTGTGGGTGCACTGATCATGTGTCCACCCTTCGTCAGTTGTTGAGACACCGCCACACGTATTGCAGGCCAACAATTGTTGGGTTTCTTGATATCAGGGCTGCCTTCGTTTCGTTGGGCAGAACTGTCTGTTAGAGACCGGGTGTATCTGAGGAGTTTGTTGATATCCTGAAGTTCGTATACAGAAATACCTCAGGTAGAGTGATGGTATACAACCAGGTATCATCGCTGTTGCCAACGGACAGTGAGGTTAGACCGGGTTGGCCAATCTATCCGCTTCTCTTTATCTATGCTATCGATGACATTCTGGACTCAGTTACGGAGGACGTGAGTAGTGGTATGTGTTTTGCACCGTCTAAATGCACGAGGACGTACCTGCACTCGCTCTTGCAGGTGAATCGCGTGAAGTTGTCGATAAGTCCGTGTACCTGGGCATTTGTGTGAGGGCTGGTGGAGGGATGACGGATGAGATTTCCAGCCGTATCATGAAAGCCAGGGTGGAATACATCGTGGGATGAAGGATATTTGGGAGATATTAGCATCAGTTGGTGAGTCACGACTCCTTGGTTGGAGTCGAATCGGTGGCTGAAAAAGTTATCGGATAATGCCAAGAAACAAAATCATTGGCGAACAGCGTGCTACAATTCTCTCCTTTCCTCCCTTTCCGAAAATAATCCGACGTATGCTGTTTAGTCTTGTCAAACATAACTGCTTTCTTCTCAGATAAAATCCTTCATTCATTGTTCACCTTATTTTTCCCCATATGTTGTTTTACTAATATTGTGTGGTGCCAGATTGTACCAGTTGTATTTTAAACAAAAAATAATAAATACTACGTAATACATGTTCTAGCTATCTTAATCCATCTAACTCCACAACCTCATCGATTGATTTTCCCTCTTCCCATAGCACTCGACTCCCTAACCTTGATATTGCTTTCCATATGATATCACCTAACACGTGAGATAGGACGGGGACATGTGCGGCCAAATACAGCTAACCTTTTTCATATATTCCACTTTCAGCGACTATGTCTCACAGCCAGCCATGAAGGCGGACAAAGTGAACTTCTGTGCAATCCGAACCTCCTTCCTTCATCGAAACTTGGATGGGATGACGTAGGTAGGTTGGTGAATTTCCACATGAAAGTTTTGTGTATCTCTGCCGAGATTTCTTCAGCAATAATTTCATTGGAGCTGAAATGGAATTTCAACACGGCGTATGGCTTCACTACCTGTTTTTAAAGCTAGGCGGCGTTGGTGGATTCACATTCTTCACACTTTAAGATAGGTTTGAATATAGACAAACTCGTTATTATTCACGCTAATAATCCACCAATACCGACTTTCATAAGTGCCTAAGATAAACTTCTATAATTCACTCAATAAAAGAAGACACCATGGCACATATATGTGTGAAAAAAGAAACAACTGAAAATCTATATTTCTTCACATAGAGAATAAAAGACATTGGTTGTTTACACACACACGCGCACACACAAACACATAAACAGATGGCAGTTTTATTTCTTACTTCACAAAGGTCATAAAAGGAAACAAATATTCGGAAAATTTAAAGAAAAATCACAAAGTTGAAATAATTCATTTCATTCAGGCTGTTTTTTTCTCTCTTCCGTTGCTGTGTTATTCAGTGAATACATGCGCATGCCAGTTGATATGGTTCATCCACTTCGAGGAAGACGACACATTTCACATTCATCAGCAGCTGGATGATTGTGAAAAGTACAGTGTGAACATGCCCAGTGTTGTTGATGATTACCGGTGTCACGTGTAGATGTTCTTGACTCTGTAGTAACCGATCCAATTGCCTGTGATGACCAATCTGATGGATTGAGTGTTGAAGAGGTTATGCCTACGCCAACAGAAACTGCAGAATGATAAGAACCAGATTGAGATGTCGGCATTGGAGGACTAGGTGGCATTTCTATTAAGAATTGAAAAGAAAAACAGTTGAATTATAATTGTGTAGGAATATATCGAAATGATTCGTCTTCAAATCTATTCACATCGCATGAGTAAAGAATAGATACCACAGACATATGACTTTGAAACGACCAATCAGATCGCTTTACATTAAAAATGCATACTTTTCCCACTCTTCATCGTATGTTTCACCTTGAGAGTCAAGATTAGGGTGAAACTTGAAACGGAGATTATTGACAGTGTCCGTTTGAAGCGGTGAGCAATTATTAGTATCATGATTAGGGCATGTTCATCATAAAGTCAATCATCATTCAACAGAATTAAAAGCTCCTATAGCTGGTACTCATACAGATTCTGGTTAATCTACTATAGGCATTCCTACGGAAAATTGAAACCTCTTTTTGCATTATCGCTCACTCATAAGTGGAATTGAAACTGTTTTGTTTTCTTCCCTCCAGCTAACTGAATTTCTAGGCACATTTTTCGTGGTAAGTGAGAATAATTCAAAGTCGTGTTAAACTAAATCGATGACATTTCTACAAATTAGGAAATGTCAAATTCTTATGTACCATTCTAAAGTTTTGGTTTGTAAGGATTAGTTATGTTTTACGAGTTGATCACGGATTGATATAAGTTAGAGAACCATTGAAAACCAGGAAGTGCTGGACAGCTATTTCATCCTAGTTTGGGAATCGTCGGCAGTACGCACCCACTGGGATTCGAACCCAGGACCTTCCGGTTACAAGGCAAGCTCGTATACCATTCAGCCACTGGGACCCGATTCAATGGCTCATGAATTCTAACTTCTACCAATTCGTGATTTAGCGCGACCCCAACCATTGTCGTTGGTGGGACATCCATCCACACACGTGACATCTAATTGGACCTCACTGGTCTTATGTACCAGCTTATCTTTGTATACTTCGCTTATATAAGCTGCATTACTCAATCAACACAACTTTTTCAAGTTATTTGAACAAAACAAGAACTACAGTTTTAGCACAATAATATGGTACCATCTTTTATTTCGTTGCCTTCTCGTCATCTGCTTACAGCCTAAATAAGTTATGAGGTTTAAGTACAGACACGTTTTAACATATTTGCAAATTTTACATGTTGTCAGTTGACAGAAAGTTCCACAATTAGTAAACATGGCTCAGAAAATTGCACTTACATAGTTTTCACACAGGCAGAAAATGGTAAAGGAGTTACATAATAAAGATGAGATGTGCGTTAGATGCATAGTGACTAGTAAGTTAGGTAACAATTTACTGAGTTGAACTCAAATCATAGAAACAAGAGACAAGCAAAATTACAGATTATAAAAGGGAGGGTGAGGTTAAAGACAAAGACCGGAAACTCCTGGATTAGGATAACCGTCCCGTGGTGAG